CAGCCACAGCTTCTCTGGGCAACCTGTGCCAGGGCCTCCCCACCCTCACAGGGAAGAATTTCTTCCCTATACCCCATCTAGCCCTGCCTGCTGTCAGGGTGAAGCCATTCCCCCTGTCCTGGCACTCCCGTCCCTTGTAACTCGAGCAAAGCCGAGGGCTGGGAGGGTGAAGGACCAACTTTGAGCCATCTCCTGGTTCTCCAATCCAACCTCTCCCCGTGGCTCCTGCAGGGTGTGCTGAGCCCTGTGCTGGAGTTGGATGACCCCGTGTACGGCCGGAGCACACGCAGGGCCCAGCGGGGCCCAGCCACAGAGAACGTGTACGAGCAACTGCCTGGGGACCAGCCCTGAGCCACCGGCACATGGGACAAGACCTGGCTCCCAGGCAGGAGGAACCTCAGCCTCCATCCCCTGGAGGAAGACTCTGGCCCTGGGAGGAGACACCCAAGGCTGCTGTCGGCCCCAGCAGCCCTATGATGCTGATCTGCTCCGTGCAGAGCCCCACACTCTTCCCAAGCCCTGAGGAACAGCACACAGGGGACTGGAGTTAACTTACCTGTGAACACATTCCTCATTCGTTAAATGAGGGTGGAAAAGGCCATTGCAGGAAAAACAGGGACAGGTTTGGCACAGTTGGTGCATCCAGTGTTAAACTGGCTGGAAGCTGGAGCGACACCGAACCTCCCCAGCCTGGAGCTCACACTCCAAGTCCTGCCTGCTTCCTCAGCCACAAAACTTGGGATAGCACCAAACCTGAGGACCAACCCTGGCTGGTGGGATGGTACAGAGCCAGGACTGCCTGTGGGATACCTGGTGGAGCACAAATCCCAGCTGGAATGACACCAAGCCACAGCAATGCTGTCAGCAGCCCTGGTGTGCCCAGCTCGACGGGAGCAGGGGGCCGGGACAGCCAAAGCTCCTTTCCAGAGGGAAAAGGAGGACTGGGGCAGTCCTGTAGCTGTTTTATCTCTAGGGAAAAAAAAAAATCACTGTCACTGCTCACAAACCTGAATTTTGTTGCTCTTAAAAGGCTGAAAGCAGAGCATGAGCCCTCAGAACTCCCCTTAGTGCTAAACCTGAGCCGTTACTGCAACGTGAAATGAGAGTTCCAGCCTCTCCCAGCTCCTTCCAGCACCCCCCAAACCCTGATAAAGGGCAGTTTGGGCACACACAGGCTGTGCCCCATGCAGCAAACACCCCGGGTGAGGGGCTGAGCCCCTTGCCATGGAAATGGGGCTGGTTGGCTTCATTCAAAAGTTTATTCCTTTATCAAACCTCTTCTGGGAGGATTTCGCTGTACATACAAGATATGAATAAATTACTCAACAGTAACTTTATTCTGATCATTCAAATACTCAAAACGGGCTTTGCAAAGTACTTAACATCCAGGGAACTAAACTAGAAATGAGATTAGTTTAAAGTGTTCTAAGAAAAGACTTCAGTCATAGGGGGTTTCCTTGTTTTTAACAGACAACATGGGAGAAAAAACCCTTCTTGGGAGTTTTTCTTACTGGAAAAACAAATATTGGCCATTTCAGCTGTGGTTACAAGTATAACCCAGAGTGGTGGGAATGTAAGTTAAATAACCAGACCCCTCAGCATCACACGGTTTGGTGAACAACAAAGTGATGCCACAGAGATCTGGATCCATGGATTAGGCCAGCAGGGCTGCACAGGATTTGGAGTTGCATCACCTTGATGGAATTCCTTAAATAAAAAAAAGGTTTAATTTTAAGAAGTTAGGGCTGGACATGGTCTCCTCTTCCCACCCAGGAGGATAAAGTCAGCACTTAATTGGAACAGAACTGATACAAACAAGCTGGGGAAAAAAAAATGTACAGTTGGCAGCTCTCCTCTGTGTGTGCCCAGAGGAAACACTGCCGAGCTCACTCCCAGCAGGACACTGGGACACTCAGTTTGATGAGTCTGGGAACAGCCTGGGGCACCACTGTAGGGGGAGGAGGAAAGAAGGGGGAAAAAGGAAGGACAATATACATACACACGTGGCTCAGGGTATCCCAAAGCCCTGAGTGTGCCAGGCAGGAGAGCCTCATCACCGTGTGCGTCCTGCACGCGGGGACACCTCTCAGACTGTCCTGCACTGGGGTGTCCCCTCAGCCTGGCTCAGGCTGTGGACACCAACTTAAAAACCAGGATATCAAAATCATCAGCAGGAGAGGAGAGCTGGAGTGGCTCAGACATGAGGAAGCAGCCATGAGGACGTCTCAAAGATAAGGACAAAATAAAAAATCCAAAGCCAGGCTTGCTCTTGGAACTCACCGTCTCTTAGAAAGAAAAACGACACCCTCAATGCACAGCGAGTCCAGGAGAGCAAAGTGGGAATGGGGAGTTTATTGAGCCTCTGCCGGAGGGTCTGGCTGCAGGAGGAGCAGCCCCTGCTCCCAGGGGACAGGAGCTCCAGCCTCTGCTCCCACAGGACAGGAGCTCCAGCCTCTGCTCCCACGGGACAGGAGCTCCAGCC